AGCCGCACCCATATCCTCAGCTACAACCACACCCACCCACAGCCGCACCCACATCCTCACATACAACCACACCTACAATCACGCTCACACCCACACCGACACTCCACCCACACCCCACACTCACCCACACCCCACACTCACATCCCACACCCAAAATACACAGTGTCTTATACTATATAATTTGTAAAGTCATTATCGAGAACAAATGTTAAAAATGGCTAAAAACGCTACATAAACGGTGTAAGATAAACGTTCCGTAATGTATCCGTATATGGGTAATTAACTGATACTCGTGTACGAAAAATATCGGGTCTCCGTAAAGGTACCGTTTTTTATAGGTTTACCGTCGTTTACGGACCGTCAATAGAGACCTGAGTTATATTTTCGGCCAGTACTGTATTTTATTCTATTAGGGGTGATCAGTTTACATTTATGAAAATTTATTAAATCGAAAAATAGATTGTGGATAATTTAAATTTAAAATAAATTTAAATTTTGATGATGAAATAAATTAACGGGAAAATGCCACCTGTTACGGACATTGCTCTCACAGAATGTTTTTCTTTCTTCTTTCTTCTTTCTTCTTTGTTTGTCCCTGAATGTAATATCTTCGATCATATATCATCATCTCTTGCTTTTCGTTAAAACCCTCGGTGCGTGTGATCATATATATAGGCGCGTTTTTCCTTTTCTTTCTGGTTTGTTATGTAGCTTAGTTGTTATACATGTGTGTGAGAACATTCTTTTGATTTAGTAAAAGTAAATGGAAGAAGATTTATAACATCTTATTCCCCTAATACCACCCCTATATCCTATTCTTTCTGGTGCGAATCTTGGTAAAATCGTTGTTTATCTATTCATTCCTTTTTCTTCTTTCTCTCTTTATAGGTAAAAAAACAACATTTGTTTTTACAATCAAATATGTATTTTTCACGTCTTTCTTTTGTTGCTTTTTTTCTATTCATATGTGTTTTTTTTCGACACAGTATAATATATACGTTTCTTTCCTGTTGAGGGACAAAGTTTGTCTATGGAAAAGAAGCGTGAAGATACGGCACACACTTCATAAGTTAAATCAAGCTATATTATATAAACGTCAGTCTAAACAGTTCTTTAATATTTTACATGTATTCTAAATACCTTCAAATTCGTAAGTACTAATCGAAGCACATAAGAGACAAATCATTTTGAATTTGTGAATATAGGAATGAGAATGTTATTATAATCCGGTTATAGTCAATCTTATTAATCCACAATACAAACAGCTTTATTATGACTTGAAAAGTCGACTGGTTGATAAATTTCTCGAAATATTATTCTTGCTATTGAACTATTCGACAGTGTAACAAACGGAGATATTCAGAATTTTATCTGTAATTTAGAAAAAAAAAAGTAAATTATTAGGAATTATTTTTAAAGAATCATGGACACGACGATGAACCCATCTAAATTAACATCGTTAACGTCTATTTTTACTAACTTATAGTATCTAAATATTAAAGAAAACAAAGAAAATTGTAAATTTTTTTCAAATTTAACTTGGTTTTTGTTTTAGACATCAGTCAAAAGTTGATGCTATGCTTTTCTAATGTAAACATTGTGTTTTCATATTATATTCTTTGTTACAAAATCTCGAAAAGACAATTTGACATATTGACAAAAAATATTATTGAGAGTAACTTAGTATTTTCGTTGTATCGCATTCTATGACAATATGTCACAGTTGACATGGGGATTCAGTTGAGTTTGGAATGCACGTGAATAGTATGAGTCACACGATAACTAATGTTTGTATACTACGGTATTCAACTTTTGTAATTTTAGCGATTCTAAATGATTGGCCGAGCTTCTCTGATTTATTTTCAATTATTTTAAAATATTTACATATAGAAAATTTTCACTTTTAACCATTCTTATTTAGTGACTATCAAAATTTTATGAATTCTATTCATCTCCTTATATTAATCGATTGATGTTCGTTCCTATGGAACATCCAATCAAGAAACACATTCTATGTCTGTCTGTTTTTAATTACATAAATTATATATATACTTTTTCATGTCCATCTCTTACAAAAAAATGAGCAGTCCCAATTCTAAACTATAATCTTACATTGATAAACTTTCTCACAATAAGTCTATCGAATACATAGTCAACAAATCTATTTATAGTCCAATTATTACTCAATCAATCGAAAAAAAGATCGGTTGCTATTCTAAATAGCATAAATCATTCAATTTCAAGTCTTTTAACAACGAATTTGCTAACACTAAACATTTAACCAATCATTCGATCCCCCAGTATCACGAGCATCGAAAAAATACTATTTTATAAAGACAAATAGCACAAGTACTCTCAATTTCGTTTCAACCAATGATTCAATGTTCCCATATCCCGCAGCTCGGAAAAAAATCTATTCTATAAAAACAAATAGCTCAAATATTCTCAATTTCGTTTCAACCAATGATTCAATGTTCCCATGTCCCACAGATCGAAAAAAAATCTATTCTATAGAAACAAATAGCTCAAATACTCTCAATTTCGTTTCAACCAATGATTCAATCTTCCCATATCCCGCAGCTCGAAAAACAAATCTATTCTATAGAAACAAATAGCTCAAATACTCTCAATTTCGTTTCAATCAATGATTCAATGTCCCCATGTCCCGCAGCTCGAAAAAAAATCTATTCTATAGAAACAAATAGCTTAAATACTCTCAATTTCGTTTCAACCAATGATTCAATGTCCCCATGTCTCGCAGCTCGAAAAAAAATCTGTTCTATAAAAACAAATAGCACAAGTACTCTCAATTTCGTTTCAACCAATAATTCAATGTCCCCCATGTCCCACAGATCGAAAAACAAATCTATTCTATAGAAACAACTAGCTCAAATACTCTCAATTTCGTTTCAACCAATGATTCAATGTTCCCATATCCCGCAGCTCGAAAAAAAATCTATTCTATAAAAACAAATAGCTCAAGTACTCTCAATTTCGTTTCAACCAATGATTCAATGTTCCCATGTCCCACGGATCGAAAAAAAATCTATTCTATAAAAACAAATAGCTCAAATACTCTCAATTTCGTTTCAACCAATGATTCAGTGTCCCCATGTCCCACGGCTCGAAAAAAAATCTATTCTATAGAAACAAATAGCTCAAATACTCTCAATTTCGTTTCAACCAATGATTCAATGTCCCCATGTCGCTGCATCGGTTTAGATTTTTTATTTGCAATATCATTGTTGAATGAGATTATTAAAAACAAGTGTATTGTATGTGTTATATGGATTATATACAGTAGACGTCGTAAGTCTCGCGCCATTTTTTTTGTTTTCAGTCATGTATTAAAACTACAATACATTAATTTAATGTGATCGTATACTTGAATAGCACAGCTCAAGTACTATCTATATACACTTGTTTCATACGAAAACCTGTTGAATATAAAACGCAATGAAGATAAACAAACTTCAGTACTAAGAAAAAATGACATAAAATACACAACATGATAATAAAAATGTTTGGAAGACTTTTTGCTTTGCAATAGGAATTGTTTATACAGATTTTAAAGAGCTTTCGACGATGCATCTTTTGAAAAAAAAACTCAAGGTTTTATCATTTGTCTGTGCAGAAATATTTACACAACAAATTATGTTGCAAGCATTTCGGAACACCCGGTATTTCCCAGTGTTTAATATTTTGACTATAATACCGTCGTTTCTCAATAAAATTCAAAGTATTTTTTTACCAAAATGATCAGCCAAAAAATGTCCTACAAAATCTGAAAAAATGAAGAGTTTTCTGAATACTTTGTATTTTTCGTGGTAGACTGACCATGTAAGTATCTTATAACAGCAATATCATTTTGTGTTTTTTTTGGTGTTATCTTTTTCTTAGTATTGAAGTTTGTTTGTCTTTATTGTATTTTATATTCAAGGGTTTTCGTATGAAACAGGCGTATATAGATAGTACTTGAGCTGTGCTATTCAGGCATATAATCACATTGAATTAATGTATTGTAGTTTTAATACACAACTGAAAGCAAAAAAGTGGCGCGAGACTTATGACGTCTATTGTACAGGATGCCGCAAAAATCGTGTCCACTTAAGAATTGCACATAAATTCCTTATTTATCAAGCTTAATCTAATAATTTTTTTTTATTAGAAAGAGAACAGCAGTAAGATTTTTTTTCATAAAGACAAAGGGCGTTTTATTTTTATTATATCGACTTCTATAGTTATTTGGGTCTTTAAATCACAGAGATCTTTTACGATTGTTTTGTCGACATTTTTTTTGAGACGGATTCATAGATAGAAGTTCAATGGTGTCAAAATTTCCGTGATCGAGAAGCCCATGATATTGATTTACTTTTTCCGATTTACCTTCCATAGAAGATTTCGTTCAGTCAGACACGGCCCGATTTGGAGAAATGGACGAATGCTCTATCTTGCTGAAAAATGATGAAGTTACTCAACTGTTTATTTCTGTAAAATCAGACAAAAGGTATTCTGAAGCATTGGGAAATAATTCTCTTGGATTAGTGTTTGATCATGGATAGCAGGTGAGTCGGAAAAAGTGAATCAATATCATGGGCTTCTCGATCACGAAAATTTTGACATCATTGAACTTCTATCTATGAATCCGTCTCAAATCAAATGTCTACAAAACAATCGTAAAAGATTTCTATGATTTAAAGGCTCGAATAACTATAGAAGTCGATATAATAAAAATAAAACGCTCCAATGTTTTTTTTAAATTGTAAAACATCTAGATTTTTTATATTGAAGTCAAAGGTATTACTTTTGAAGAATATTTACGAACTTTGTCTTTATCAAAAGAAACTTACTGCTGTTCTCTTTCTAATAAAAAAAAATTATTAGATTAAGCTTGATAAATAAGGGATTTATGTGCAATTCTTAAGTGAACACGACTTTTGGGACACCCTGTATATGCGCATAAAAATACATTAAGAAAAATCATCATTCACTCATAATCAATGGATCAATCGTCGAAATATGCAAATGAAGAAATTGAATTGGGTATACAAGACTGGTGCAAAGAATTCAATCGAGTATGGATACGAAGTGATTGGATATTTTCCATGTTACGTTCAACAGAAGATTATTATAAACAACCAATTAAGCTTCGATTACCATTGATATTTTATCTAGGTCATCTACCATGTTTTAGTTGGGCACAATTTCGTCATTTAAATGATGTTAATGGTATCATTAATAAAACATTCGATGATCTCTTTTTACGTGATATCAATCCAGATGTTGAAACAAATATTGTTAAACATAGTCATTCGACTGAATTCTCGACTGATACCAACGTCGAAGAAGAATATTGGAGATCATTTACTGTTCAAAGTGTAATTGATTACAAGAATAATGTTCGAGTAAAATTGATCGATATTTTGACAAATAGTCATTTGGATTTGAAAGATATAAAAACATTAAATGTACTCAATATCAGTGCAGAACATGAAATGTTATATCAAGAAACATTAATGTATTTATTTATGCATTTACCAATAGAATCACTTCGATGGAATTTTATTCATGAGCATGATTTTCTTCAACATAATATTATTTCTTCATTACCAAGTAATACATGGATAATGTTTCCAGGTGGACAAACATCGCTCGGTAAACCATATAATGATGACGTATCAACATTCAGTTTTGGTTGGGATAATGAATTTCCACGTGAATTTGTTTATTTACCAGTTTTCGAAATGCAATCACATCCGATTCGTAATGGAGATTTTCTTCAATTTATTCTTGACAATGGTTATACAACAAGTGATTGGTGGGATGAAAATGTCTTTACTTGGATAATAAAATCGAATATTCGTTCTCCTTCAACGTGGATAATACATGAAAATTCTTATCAAGTGAATTTCGTATTACAACGTAATATTCCAATTGAATGTGTACTTGATCATCCTGTTCTTGTAAGTCAAGTAGAAGCAAAAGCTTATTGTCAATGGATATCGAAGAAAACTGGTGAGCAAATTGAATTGCCAACTGAAGCCGAATGGATTTATGCGTTATGGGATTCATCAAATTGTATACGTTTGGCTCTGAAAGAAAATAATTGTAATATTGATTTTCATCATCTTCATACGATACAAGTTTCTTCCAACAACAATGAAAAATTACAATGGCAAGGATCAGCATTTGAATGGACATCAAGTGTTTTTCGACCATTTTCAGGTTATCAAGGCCCTTTATCTACATATCCTCGATATTCTGCTGACTTTTTCGATAATTGTCATTTTGTTCTTTTGGGTGGATCATTTGCTACTGATTCAACATTTATACGAAGAACATTTCGTAATTGGTATCAAGATACATATCGATATGTATTTGCTACATTTCGATGTGTAAAACGTGTTAGTCATACTGATGATAAACTTACACAAATTGATCGTGATGCTATTGTTGCTTCATTAAGTAATACAGAACATCGTAAAATTTCTTCAAAATATTTTTATGATGCTCAAGGTTCAGCAATTTATACAAAAATAACTCAATTAGATGAATATTATCCATTTAGACAAGAATTAAAACTTTTATGTCAAAAAGCAAATGATATTAAATCAACAATTATTCATCATTCTAATTTTCAAAATCATTCATCATCAACAATACATTTTATTGAACTTGGTTGTGGTGATGGAAAAAAAGTTGAAGCATGGTTAACACCATGGATTAACTCAACTGATAATATATCAATAGAATATCATCCTGTGGATATATCTCAACATGCTATCGATTCTCTTGTTCAACTTCTTAAACAGACTTTCAATGAAAATATTATTGAACAATGTGTCAAACCTTTATGTTCAACATTTGAGAATATGTATGAAAAAATAAATACTAATATCATGGGAATCAAAGCAGTCATTTTAATGGGCAGTACAATTGGTAATTTTTCATCTTATGATGAAAAAAATGTGAAATATGGTGAAGATGCACCTGTCATACAATTACTTAGATCAATTCGACAAAATTTAAATGTTGGTGATTGGTTTATATGTGCATTTGATATGTGTAAAGATACAACAACAATGATTCGAGCTTATAGTGATTCAAAAGGTGTTACTACTGCATTCAATATGAATCTTCTTTCTCGTCTCAATCGTGAACTAAACTTCAATTTCAATTTGAATAATTATCAACATTATGCATTATACAATCCATTACGTCGACAAATGGAAAGTTGGTTAATTTGTCTTAATCATGAAACAATTACTGATCATCAAGGTTTTACTATGCAATTGCAACCATATAATGCTATACAAACAGAATTATCTACTAAATACACAAGAGAAGATATTGAACTGTTGATGGAAAAAAATTCCATGAAAATTATCGAATTTTTTAATAGTGATGATCATCGATTTCCATATTGTTTATGTTTGGCACAAATAATATAATTCGATTTCTTCCTCTATCCAACGAACAGAACTAATACAGAATAATTTGAAATTTTTTACTTAGCTTTTAAAACGACTTATATTTAATTTAGCAATAAAATAATTGAAATGAGCAATAGTGAAATTTAGCAATAAATTTATTGAATCAACAATAATTATATTGAATCAACAATAATTATATTGAATAAGGGATAACTATATTGAATGAGCAATAAATATACTGAATCAGCAATAATTTATTTAAATTAAAGGTAAATTTTATATAAAAAGGGGCATTATGGATTCATTTTGTTATGCTACATTCCAAAGATGTGCTATAAGACAGAGTTGTGTTCTACTATACATTGTATTTTCGGTCTCTTTCTTTCTCTACATATGTATCTACACCATTCATGCTCTTTCACTTTTGTCAGGTTAGCTTTACTGGTTTTTCTGAATCCGACCAAAGAAATCATTCTATCATCCCGAATATTGAATGGTTATTCGAATACAAATTTTGTAGATTAATATTTACTCTTTCAGACTATGCAATTAGAACTGTACAACAACCATTTAAAGGGTGTAGGTGTGGGTGGGGGTATGGACAAAGAGAAGTGAATACCCACACCCACATTTTCATCGGTGGAGAAGCATGTTACAGGCATACATCTTATATGCCTTTACACATTCCGTTCTTGTCGACATCTATTTTATTCTGTTCACATTCTTTGATTCTTTTTTTTTAATCAGTACTCTTCTTGGGTCATTCGAAGAGAAATATAAATTGAACTGAAGGGATACAAAGGTAAATCACGATTGTGCACAAGTCAATCTTAGATGAAATGGCTACAGATCGATCGTGTCGAACAGTTGAGAAAAGAAGGATCGACTGTCTGAGTCAGTGTACATCGATGTCAAAGTTAATTTAGTTGATGAAAGCAAAAATGGCAAGTGTTTGAAAGAATACGTTTTGCTTCTGTACGGAAAGTCTTTGATACAAGCACATTTGTGTAAAAGCCAATACTGTTTTCAATAAAGTACCAAATGTATGTTAACTGTAGAACTGATTGCTCGATTAATTGTTGATCTATAGTCTTTGTTTCATATTGCGTGATTTGTTGATAAATGAAGAAGATTGTAACTGGAAATTTACAAATAACAAAGATAATTATGTCCACAAATAGTATTCGAATAAGTTGTTTATCCTTGGATTGAAGGGTATATGGTCTACCAACCATTGTAACTCCAGTATGTGCAATATTTATTGAGCCACTATGATGCGTTGAACGGCGTATTTGTCGAATGTTCTTCACTGTCCAAAAGCCAAATATCGCCATTAATAGAAGTGGAAGAATTCCATTGATCACAAGTATATAATAGGCCATCATGATAGTGCATATACCTGGTTGATAGAAACAAACAAAATAATTAGGGCCAAATTGTAAAATGTCCATGAAGATTAATGCATGAATATGAAACAGTATCCAAAATAAACCTATACTGATCATACTTGTAGCAACTAAACGACGTGTGCTAAGTCTTCGTGTTCCAGCATTTGGTGAGGTGACTAATGTGCGATCGATTGATGCCAAAATGATGTAGGATGATTCCCAGCACCCAAGTACCAAACCCACATAATAACGAAATCGACAAAAGGCGATATTGCTTGCACTAGGATCGATATTGTAACCAACTGCAAGTGTTGTAAAAAGAAGACCCAAATAAAAATATAAGAAATTAATAATATTGATAGCCACAAAGCAAATTGTACATGGATTT